ATATTTATTATAAGTATTAATAATTTGAATAATAATAAAATGAAAAGAAATAAGCAAGAGATGAACAATTATTATTAATGTAAAATTAATATTAAATATTAATTAATTATCTTATTTATTAAATACAAAAAATAGAGATTTATATAAAAAATAAAAAGTATATAAATAATAATAATAAAAAAGTAATATTTTACATATAAACAAGATAAATTATTTTATTTATAAATAATAAAAAAGATTCTAATTTATTAAGTGAAAATTAAGTTTCAGAAAAATTAAGTTAATACATTTAGTTTAATTTAAAACAAATATTAAAAATGTAAAAATACTTAATTTATATAGTTAAATAAATACATAAAAAATATTTAATTATTTTTAAATAAAATAGAAATAATACATAGACTTTAAATTATTTTAATAATACAAAGAACTTTAATTTTAATAATAATATAAAAATAATTAATGTAAAACTCTTTGCGGTTTTTACAGCCCAAAAAAGTTCAGTAATAAGATCTTTAATAAGGACTCAGAAAAAAAAAAAACCTAATATTTATTTATATAAAAAGCGAAATAAATTAAGTCAATAAATATACATAAATTAATAAGAATTTTTTTTATATAAAACAAGTAGGAGATATTTAGTAAAAAAGAAGTAATAGTTAATTATAAAATTAATAATAAAACAATATAATTAATAATATGTGCACATAGTAATTTTAATAAAATAGTAATTATTTATAAATATAGATGAGTAATTATTAACCAATATGTTAAAATAAATAAATTAATAATAACAAATAATAATAACAATGAATTAAGAAATGAAATAAATAAATTAGAATATATAAATAAATAATAATAATAACAAAAATTTATAAAATAATAATAATTAATTATAATTAGAAAATAAATAAGAAAAAATAATTTAATAATAATAAAATCCATTTTAGATGATAAAATAAACTAAAAATAATAAAATATATAAATATAATAATACAATTTATCTAACTAAAATATATAAAATTAAGATATTAATAATACGTAAAATAATGAAAATATATAAAATATAGAATAAAAATATATAATATAAAAAATAAATTAAAAAAATAATTAGAAAATATAAGATTAAATAAATTTTGATGATAATAATAATAATAATAATTATAATAATAATAAAAATAATAATAATAATAATAATAATAATAATAATAATAATAATAATGACAATGATAATAATTTTAATTATTATTTCTATTAAAATTAAAATAATTTTAAATATATAATTAAAATTCATAATTTGTTTTTAATAATTAAAATTTTAATTAATTAAATGATATTAAATGCAATTATAATTAAATAATATAAATAAATAAATATGTTGAATTTCAAAATATAATTAATAATTAGTAAATTAACAATAATATTAATTAAAATAGCTTTAATAATATAAATATATATGACAATAATAATTTAAATATTAATAATAATAATTAGAATACTAATTATTAAAATAACCCGAATAATATATAAAATATAAAATATATTTCAATTAATAATAATTAAAAAAAGTTTTTACTTAAAACATGAATTAAAATGAATAAAAATATTAACTATTTTTGAATAACTTATAAAAAAAGTTATAAGTATAATAAGAGATATTAAAAAAATAAAAAGTATAAATCGCTAACACTTAATTTTTAATAAATAAACTTTATAATTCATACAAAGGATAATAATAATAATATATAAGTAAAATTAAATCTATTAATGATTAAAATAATCAATAAATATTTTTAAAATAAACTAATTTTAAAAATTATTTAGAAAATAATAAGATTTAATACTTTTGTTAAGTTAAAGGAGATTAATAATCATATTTTAGAGCTTTTTATGTTTAATATTTCCTTAAAATTATTTTTCTAAGTAATAAATATAAATTAATGAATATTACAGAAAAAATTTTAGAATTAAATTTAGTAACAATTTAGTTTAATTAATCAAATTTACAAATTAAAAATACTAATATTTAAGATTTTTGTAAATTTTAATTACTGTAATTTTTTGAAAAAATTAACAGAAAAAATATTTAAATAAATTAGAACTTAAAAATATATTCGAAGAATTTCAAAAAAAAGAATAAGATTTTTCATTCATTGTTTTAGTTAAAAGTATACTTTAAATGTCTTTTGATTGTGGAATTTGTCAAATAGAATAGTTTTATAATGATTTTTTAGTTTTTTTTATAGATTTTAAAGATTAGTAGATTATAAAATGGGAAACTGAAGGAGAAACACTCCTTTATAATAGAATTTTCATTGAATTATTAAATTTCAATCAGCTATATTTTTTTTAAGAATATAATATAAATAATATTTAAAATAAATGTATTCAATAAGAAGATATTATAATCAAAAGCGAAATAAGTATGAATAAAAATTATTAAAAATTAAATAAATTAATGATTTTACTATAAATAATGAAATTAATATCTATATTATTTATAATGTATAATATATATATATATATATATATATATATATATAATTATATAAATTATATATCTTTATTTTTTATACAAATACATCTATATATATATATATTCATCAATTTAATTTTATTTAACAAATATAAAATTATACTAAATATTTATTTAATTCTTGAATCTTTCTATTAATTTAATTATAAATAAAATTAGTATAAAAATAATAAAAAAAATTATAAATGCTTTTAATTTAAATTAAATTAAAAACTTTTATATATATTTGCTATCTTTTATTTAATAAAATAATTTTCTTTATTGAAATCTTTTAAAAATTACATCAAAATACGATTTATTTAATAATTTTTATTTTTAACACAGTATGTTTCTTTATATAATTATAATAAAAAATTCTTATAGAAATTAAAATCCGAAATTTATACTAAGACTATTTATATTACATATTTTATAATTCAGTATTTAATATATATTAAATATAAATCCATTTTTTTTTATTTCAATTACAAAAATTTTATAATAATAAACTATATTTATATAAAAAATATATTTATTTTTAATAAATTTTCTATAGTATAATAAAATACTCAATAAATTATTCTTTTTTTAAAAAAAGAATTTTCAATATATTATTTTAAAAATTATTTGTTTTCTATATAAAGTCCTTTTTTCAAATAAAAAAAACTCTAATTAAAATGAGCCAAAATAATAAATTTTTATCGAAGAAATCATAAATAAAATATATATAAATAAACATAATATTAAATTTTTTAAAGATTTTTTTATAAAATGCACAGTCAACTTCCGAAAACTTTCAATAAAAACTAATTATTATATTCATATTTTAAATTTTTATATATTATTATCATTTTTAATTAAAATTATATATTATTTTATATATTTTAAAAAAAAGTATAATCTTCAAATCATTTTTTCTTAATATAAAATTAAGTATAATTATTATTTATTAAATTTTATATAAATTTTCTTTTTATTTAATTAATACTTTAAATATATAAATATAGATAAGATATGTATTTATTTATATACATATATATATGTTTTAATTTTATTTTTAATATTAAATTTATAAGAATATAAAAAAAGATATATATAAAAAAAATCATAATGCCAACAGTAACAGTAAACATAGATAACTTTAACAAGAAACTTGGAAAGAATTTAGGTATATCATAAATATGCAAAAAATAAAAATAAAAACAATATAGATTTCAACGATTTAGAAAATTTATGTTTTGACTTCGGCATAGAAGTTGAAAAAAGAGAAGTAACTAAAAAAAATAAGAAAACAAACTAAGACGAAGTAACATTAGAATATGCATTTGAAGTAGGAGCAAATAGACCTGATTTATTAAGTGTAGAAACATTATCATTAGCATTAGGAACATTTATAGGAACTCGTAAAATGCCAAAATATACTATAAAGAATGTAAAAAATAGAGAAAAAATTATTGTGAAAGAAAATGTAAAATATATATATATATATATATATATTATTATAATTATTTATATTATTATAATATTTTTTTTAATAAATTAATTTGTTTTATATTATATAACTCAATAATTTTATTTAATAATTTTAATTTAAATTAGTTTTTTTTTTTTTTTTATATTTTATTTAATTATTTATTTCAAATATTTAATTTACATTTTTTTAATATATTAATTTAAAAAGTGTAAAAAAATTAGAGAATTTGTTGTTGGTTGTGTACTTAGAAATGTTACTTTTGATTAATATACATATGATTCTTTTATTGATTTCTAAGATAAACTTCATCATAATTTATGCAGAAGAAGAAGACTAGCATCTATGGGTACTCATGATTTAGATACTATAAAAGGACCTTTTATATATGATGCTAAGACTCCTAAAAGTATTTCTTTTGTGCCTTTAGATAAAACTGAAGAAATGGATGGAGAAAAACTAATGGAATTTTACGATGTATTTAATAAATTATAAATTTATAGAATATATAAATATACAAATACATAATATATATAAATGTAAATATATAAATATATAAATATATATATATATTTAAATATTTATATACTTTTCTCAATTTTTTTATTATTAGAAAGATATTCACTTGAAAGAATTTTTACCTATTATTAGAGATTCGGATGTTTATCCTGTTTTTTTAGATCATAATAATGTTGTTATGTCACTTCCTCCTATAATTAATAGTGATCATTCGAAAATTAAACTTACTACAAAGAATGTTTTTGTTGAAATTACTGCCGTAATTATATAGTTTTTTTTTTTAAAAAAAAATAATAATATATATATATATTATTAAAAATAAAGACTGATTATACAAGAGCTGTTGCTTCCTTAAATTGCATTGTGGCTGCGTTTAGTTAATATTGTGCTGAACCTTTTACAATCGAAGAAGTGGAGATTTTCTATGAAGCTGAAAATAGAACTGATATAACACCTAAAATTGAAAATCTTTATTTCGAAACAAGTATTGAATATATTAATTGTGTTGGAAGTTTAAACTTAAATGCTTAATAGGCTTGTGAACTTTTAAATAAAATGTGCCTAAATTCATAACCTATATAAAATTCTGGAAAAATAAAAGTCGAGGTTCCTATTACTCGCTCAGGTATTGATTAAATTGTTAAAATAATTATTATTATATTTCTTTTTATTTTATTTTTTTAGATATTTTATAAGAATGTGATATTGTAGAAGATGTTTGCATTGCATTTGGATATAATAATATAGATTGTAAATTACCAAAAACTCCTACAGTTGGAAAATAGCTTTTCTTAAACAAAATGAGCGATTTAGTAAGAGAAGAAATGGCAAGTGCAGGCTATAAAGAAGGTTTGAATTTCGTTTTAGTTTCTGATGAAGACTTAACTTCTAAATTATTGAAAAAAAACGATGGTCAAATGGTTATTATTGACAACCCTAAAGTAAAAGAATTTAATGTTGGAAGAACTACACTTATACCAGGATGTTTAAAATGGCTTTGTAATAATAGATAAAATAAAATTCCTATTAAAATGTTCGAAGTGGGTGATGTTGTACTTTAAGATAAAACTTAAGAGACTGGAACTAGAAATGAAAGAAGGATGTGTGCACTTTATACTAACTTGTAGTCTTAAATTGAAATTATTCATGGACTAGTTGATTATATTATGATGAAATTGAACGTTAAGCTTTTATGTCCTGAAAACTCAAATTTCAAAAGATTATATAAACTTATTCCGGCAAATGGTATTGTTTTTTTTTTTAAAAAAAAATTTTGTTTGAATATTTTTTAGAGGATAGTTATTTTAGAGATAAATAAGCTTATATTTTATTTAATGATGTTAAAATTGGAGTAATTTTGTTATTTTATTTTTTTTTAATTGACTTTTGTATTTTTATTATAATAGATTTTAGGCGTTTTACATCCTTTGGTTCTTCAAAATTATCAATGGAAATATCCTGTTTCTGTAGTAGAAATTAATTTAGAACCATTATTTAAAGAATTCTGAAATAAGAAAAAATAGCATTAATATATATATATATATATATATATATATATATATATGCAATTAAATTTTATATATTATAGTTTACTTAAGTAACTATTTAAAGTAGAATAATTTTTGTCAAAAGAATTTCATATATAAATATATATAATATTCAAAAGAAATAACTTTTTGTAATATGAAATTTTAATAGTTATATAAAATTTGATAAATATAAATTTTGGTTATAAAAAAATATGAAATAAATTTTTAATGATTTTTTTTCAAAAATTTTCATTACAAAAAGAAACTTATTCATCTTAATCTTAATGAGATTCTTAATTTTGACTATTTTCATTTTCCTTTATATTATCATTATTTTTATCATTATTTTTCTCATTATTATTATTATTTTCAATATCATTATTGTTTTCATTATTTTTTTAATTTTCATTATTTTTTCATTATTATTTTTATTATCATTATCATTTTTATTATAATTGTCATTTAAATTAGTATTTTCTATTTTTTCATAACTTTATTAAATATTCAACTCTTATTATTTCCTAATACAAATATCACTTATATCAAGGTTTTTTGTTTATTTTTTAATGATATTTTATTTTTCATGATATTTCATATAATCTAAAGGATTACTTAAAGATCGTTTTAAACTATATTCAGGTTTATTTTTTATTTTATTAATGGTTTACTAATATATTAAAAAATATTAAATTAATAATACATATAGTTAGTTATATTTACTTTATCGAAAATCAAATAAACATCTTTTGCCAAATTTAATAAATAGTTTTGTATATTTTCTCTTTGGTTTCCTGAATCTATTTATACAAGTTCATCTATATTATTCATTTCTATTAAATTTTTTGAGTTTAGTTCTTTTTTCATGTAATCTCCATTTACTTACGACATATTATTGTTTTCCATATAATAGTTTGCATATTTGATATTATTTGAAGATGTATTTAGTATTTCGATTATACTTTTATTATTATTTGTATTTGATTTTGATGATATTGCTATATTTTAATGATATTTTCTATAAAATTCTCTATAATGTTAAAATGCAGTATATATTTTTTGCCATTTTTCCTCATACATATTATGAGAATAAACAAAAATTTCATTTCTGGCTTCAAGTTCTATATTAAGTCTTTTTAAATTATCATTTTCAATTTATAATGTTTTATTTAAAAGCATTTCTCTTTAAAGATTTTTTTTTGCTATTATTAATTCTGCATCATTTTTTCTATATTATTCCATTATTGCACCTATATCAGAACCTTTTGTTTGTTTATTTAAACAAACAAAAATAAATAAATAAATATTGAATTTACCTTATTATAATTGCAATTATTACATAGTCGATTTTTTAGCATTTATTTCTTGTATTTTTAAGGCTTTTGCTAAGTCTAATTTTGGTATATTTAAACCTAGTTTACCCGCATCTGTATTTATTGTTTAAACTTTTTCAGGTAAATTTGGCATTTCGTCTTCAAAATCATCTTCTTCTTCACTGTTTTAATTCATTAATTTTTTATGAACTTTTTTTTATTAACAACAAAAATTATAAAAAAAAAAAAAAAAAAATACTTTTTATTAAATTCATTTAATTCCCTAATTATGAAGAATTCTTGAAATTCTCGTTTTATATATATGATGATCTTCCATGAGGGGCTGCAAGAGTGGCTTTTAAACGTAAAATTTCGTTTGACATTTGCTTTTTTTTGTATGTTTTTTTTGTTTTTTATTAGTTTTTTTATTAAACCATATTAATTTTTGCTAATTCTTGTTTAGAATTTCTTAATTCGTTTATTTCTTTTATTTATTTTTATATTAAAATGTTTAGTTTTTCATTTTCATCGTGCATTCTAAATGTTTAATCATTTAAATTAATTATCTTTTTGTTAATATATATATTTTTTTTTTTTTAAAAAAAAAAAAATCAAACAAAAATATATCTTACATCTCTATATTTTATAACGATTCCACTCATTTCGTCATAACTTGGTATTGTTTTTTCGTATTAATATATTACTTTTTCTTATTCTTTTAACTTTTTTGTTAAGTTACTTACTTTTTATTCTAAATCTTGAATTAATTCTCGTTCATGCTTTTAAGAGGCTTCGGATATTTATTCATTTATTAAAGCCTTATTAATTATAAAACAAAAATATATTAGTAAAGTAAAAAAAAAAGGAAATAGCTTGATAAATTATAGTACAATTTTTTAATTATTAAAATAGTATTTTTTTTTTTCTTATATTTATAAAATTTTTATATTTCTGAAAAAACTTTATATTTATTTTTGTTTACTCGACTTTATGCAATATTTCTTTCTTGAGAAATTTTTTCATTTATTTATATTAATTATGCATTTTCTTCATATAATGAATGTAAAACTAAATTTAAGGCTTTATAATTATTATGATCAGGGTTTCCTTATTATTATTTTGATATATTATCTGATGGTTACATCACTATACGTAATGCTTCTTTATTTAATTTAATAATGTTTTATAGTTCTTGTACTTATTCACGAAGTTATTAATTTTCTTATGATAAAAATTCAATTTTTGTTGTTTTTCGATTTAATGATTAATGAATTCCTTAAGATTCTGAAATCATTTAATAATCTTACATTATTAATTTTTTTTATTTTAAAATACTTATAGTAAATAAGAAATTAAAAAATATATATATTTATATAATAATAAAAGGATTTCTTTTTTGTATTTATATTTAAATATATTATAAGCATTTATTTTATTTATAAACATAAAAATTTGATATAATTAGATATTATATCTAAAGATTAATATATTAATTTGTTTATAAATTAAGATTAATTTAATTAATAAATATTAATTATTTATAATATTTTTTTTAAGTACTAAATAATATAAAACAATAATTTATATCCAAATTAAAAATAACAATATTATATTTTAACTTTGATTTATAAAAATTTAATTTTTAAATATAAAATATATTATAAAATAAAAAATTCTATTAATAAAATTTAATCAAATAAAAAGAAAAATATTAATAAATTTGAATAATATTAAAATATAAATATATAAGTATAATTTTATTAATATATATAAAATAATTTATTTATTTTATATTTTTTAAAAATATATTATTAATAATAATTAAAATCGAAATAAAATAAAGTAAATTTTGTAATAAATCATAAAAAATCATCATATTAGTATTTTAATAAGTTTATATTATAATATTATATTAAATTATTTTATTAAAAAATATAAAAAAAAAATTTTCAAATTATAAATAATTTTATATTATATATAAAATGTATAAACAATAATTATAATATATATAAATATATATATATATTTATTTTTATCTAAATATTATATTTATATTTATATTATAAATTATTTTTTTTCTTTTTAAAATTTTGTTATTATCTTTATTTATTTTATAGAAATTAATTAAATAACAATTAATATAATTTTTTTTAAATTATTAATAATGATAGTATTTATTTTTAATAATTAAATTTTATAATTAATTAATATGTATTCAATATTAATTTTATCTGTTTTTAAATTCAATTAAATATTGATTTTATTATGTTAATTATTCCACCGTATAATTAAGTTATTCTATTTATTAAATTAAATAATATTCTTTTTATTTTTTAATTTATTTTGCTTATTTTATTTCTAAAAGAATTTATTCTATTTGTGCATTTAAATTTTCATTTTGATAAATTTAATCGTCAATAGTATTTTTATTTTATTTTAATTAAGAATTTAATTAATTTTTTTCTTCTTCTAATATATATATATATTATTTTTTCTCTTTTTCTTTCTGTCCTAATATTTCTTATTTAAAAATCTTAAATTTATTATTTTCTTCTCTATTATTATCATTGTTTTCTTCTTAAAATATAGTTTTAAATTTATTAATTATTTAATATTCAGTTAATTTTTCTTTAACTTTTATTGGAGAATGTATATATATAATATTAGGGTTCGATTTTTACTTTATTTAAATTTCTGATTCAAAACTATCATTTTTTTAATTAAATGTCTTTAAAGGACTCTAATAATTACTTTATGAAATATACTATTTTTGCATTTGGTTTTTTTATTATTTAATAATTTTATTTTTCTTATTTATAAAAAACATATTTTTTTATTAAATATTAAAAATAAAATTAATTGTTTTTTATGAAAACAAAAAAAAAAGCAAAAAAAATTTAATAATAATATCATTGGTCTAAAATTTATATATATAAATTAAATACATTAAAATAAATTAATAATATTAATAATTCAGTCATAAATATATATGTATTTTTATTTTTTTACGAATTATTAATATTATCATTAATTATTACTACAAGTAAAATTTGATATTTTACAATAAGAGGATATTTAATGCTCGTTATCTTCTTTAAAATTAAAAATTTCAGTTTTAGCTAAACTTTTATTTAAATTATGTATTTTTGGAGCTTTTAAGCTTTAATTATATAATTTTTTCCAATTTATATCCTTAAAATATGAATGATTTTTAATATCATCAACATTTTGATATCCAATCCTGTCTTTAGGCTTTTTTTATTAATTAATAAGAATTGAATATTATATATTTTATTTTATTTTTTTTTTAAAAAAAAAAAAAAAATACTTTTTTTTATAATAATTTATGTATTAAATCTCTTGCGTTTGGATTTATATCAGAATTTATTTGAATTTATTCCTCATTATATTTTTATAATATTTCCATTTAATTTTTAGATTAATAAAAAGGGGGTAAACCATGATAAATCTCATATAAAATAATTCCAAGACTCCACCAATCTACAGACTCATCATATCCTTAACTTTCTTTATTTTTTTGGTTGGAATATATTTTCAAAAAGTGATTTTTTTACCAAACATTATTTCTGGTGCCATATAATATAATGTCCCACAAATAGTTTAACATTTGTCTTCTTTTTCAGTTTTTATTTTAGAAAGTCCGAAGTCTGCTAATTTTATATAACCTTTTCTATTTATTAATATATTTTCAGGTTTTAAATCTCTATATATATAATTATTTTCATGTAAATATTATAGACCTAATATTATTTAGGCAATTATAAATACTGTATATTTTTCACTAAGATTTTTTAAATTATTTAATAAAAAATGATATAAATCTCCTTTTTTTTTATATATTTTTAGACAAAAAATAAAAAAAAACCTTATTCTACATAATCTAAAATAAAATATAAGTTATTATTATCTTAAAAAGTATAATATAATTTAATTATAAAAGGATTAATTGAATTTAATAAAATATTTTTTTCAACTAAACAATTTTATTTATGCTTGTCTGATTATATAAGACTTTTTTTTATCATTTTCATAACATAAAGTTTTTCTAATTAATAATTTTATAAAAAATATATATATATATATATATATATAATAAGAAAATAATATATATATATAATAAATAAAATATTAATATATATAAATATATAGATAAAATAATATTATTATATAAATTAATATAAATAATATATTTTTACTATCAATTTAACTTTAAACTAAATATACAATTCCGTAGCTGCCTTTTCCAACAATCTATTTTAATATTATTTATTTGTTTATTTATTTTCTTTTTTACTTTTTTTATTATAAAATCATTTAAATCTAATTTTTATTAATTTATTTCGTATTTTTCAAACGTGTTTATTGTTGAATTCATATCTATTTTATTCGAATATAAATTATCTTTATATTATTAGACTTTTTTTTTATCATTTTATTTTCTTTATTATTTTATTCTTGATTATTTTAACACTTCAATTATATTAAATTGCCCATTTTTTATTTATTTTGTATCTATTTTTTATTCGAAAATAAGTATTTATGATTTCAATATATATATTAATTAAATATTATAGAAATATTTATAATATAAAATAATGAATTAATAATTTAACTTTAGACAGATAAATCTATAAAAATATATAAAATTTTATTTTATTTTTGTCATTAATATGTTTAGATATATTAATGCTATAAATTTATTTTTATAAAAATAAAAAATACTTATTTAATTATAAAGGTTTAAATTTATTTATATTTTTTCATTAATATATTGAAGTATTTTTTTGGTTTATTTTAGATAATTAATAATTTTAGTTTAAAAAATATAACCAATAAAATGATACATTATTTTATTGTTTTTTTCTATTTTTAAAAATAAATTTTGCGCTTTGTTAATATAATTTAATTTTATTAAAATAGATAAAATATCTTAAAATTATATTTATTAATTATATTTTTATTAAACAGACTATATTAATTATATATATATATTATATATATATATATATATATATATTATTTATTTAAAAACCATTATTTAATTTATATTTTTCTTAAAAAATTAATTTTTAATCTTTTTATAAGTTTTATAGTTTTTTTTTTTTTCTTGAATAAAAGCCTTATCAAAAATATGATAATATATTAAAAAAATTATAAATTAAATATTTTAATAACAATAAAATTTTTAATTAAAAATAAACAAAAAATACTTCTTTTTTTAGAGATATATTATTTTTAAAAAAATTTAATTGTTAATTAAAAAAAAAGATAAAAATAAATAAATACTAAAAATATAAAATAATTAAAATATATATTAATAAATATAAATAAATGAATAAATAAATAAGGTTTATTTATAAATTATTTCAAGGGACTAAAAAATATCGAAAAGTAAAAGCCTTAAATTTACATACTAAGCTTTAAAAATTAAGTAAAAAGATAAAAAGGCCGCTTAAAAAAAAGCATAAAAAAAGATTAAGAATAAAATAAAAATTAAATACAATTAAATGAAAAAAACTAAGAAATTTAAAAATTTATAATAACTTTATAAAACAAGGATAAAATATTGATAATTCCTTATAATTAAGTAATAAACAATATATGATATATATATATATATATATATATAATATATATATATATATAAAATAAATTAAAAAAATAGAATTTAGTATTTTCCGGTGAATTTCATTTTTGTTTACTAAAAGGAGAAATAATAGTAAATGGTTTGAAAATAAACGAAAAAGAAACCAACTTAATAAAGGCAAGCTCTTTTCGTTAAAATAGTTTTTTATGTTTTTGCTCTTAATAATCTTAGGAAATAGATAAAATAGAAAATTAAAGTCAAATAATAGAAGTAATAAACAACAAAATATCCTTAATATAGAATAAAAATGACATAGATAAAATAATAGACTACATATTTAACAAAAAAGATGAAATAACTAATAAATATACACTAAAAAGTAGCATAATTTATATTTAAAACCAAAAAGGATAAGAAAAGAAACAATTTAGAATGGAAAGAATAATTGAGAACCTAAATTTTGAATAAGGGATAATAAAATACAGCTAAAAGCAAATAAATTATGTAGAAAAAATCTCATAAAATATTGAAGAAAAAAAACGTAAAATAATATTATATTGTGGTAGAAAAAATTGCGGAAAAAGTACATTTTGTACATACACTATAAACCGTTTATTAGAAAAATATGAAAAAGTATGTTTTTTAGATACTGATTTAGGACAAAGTATATTTTATTTACCTTCAAGTCTATCCTTTTTTGTTTTTGAAAAAAAAAATAACACTTTTGTGTCAAATTTATAGGAGAATTTTTTCGAAACTAAGCCTTTTTTGAAATCATTTATAGGAGAATTTTCGCCTTTAAAATTTATTTAAAAATACCTTGAAAAAATTTAAGAATTCGGAAGGTTTTTTGAAAAAAATTTCACAAATTTTCCTTTTGTTATCAATACACATGGCTTTATTAATAATATAGGAGAAATATTGCTTTTAGACATTTTAAAAATCCTTAAACCGGGCTTTGTGGGAGTACTTTCGGATGAAGGAAAGGATTTCGAAAGTAATTTGGGAGCTTTTTTGGGAAATAATAGTAGAATAAGTTTTATAAATTCAGATTTTGATGATGATTTTTAAATCGAAATTGAAAATGTGGCTGGCCTTGTGGAAGATTCGCCAAAAAATTAATTTTTAGAGGCTAAAAGACATAAGAAAGATATTCTTTTTTGTAATTATTTTTGTTAAGATTTAAATGTTTTCCCTTTTGAATGCTTTTAGGATAATTAATATGCAAAAATGTGCTCTTAAGTACCTTTTGTGTGCTAGCTTAGGGATTTATAATACTTTTTGTTGGATGAGAACAAAGAAATATAAGAAAATAGGGATATTGGAATGCTTTTTAATTGCTCTATAGTAGGTCTATTTGGAGAATTTTATCCGAAAATTGAAAAATTTATTGGTTTTGGATTCGTAAGGGATGTTAATTTGGAAAAAGGATAAATTGAAATTATTATTAATGAATAAAAGATTGATTATGAGGATATTTGTGGAATAAAATGGCTTGTAAAGTCTAATTAGGTTGGATTTTCTAAGCATTTTTGGTTAAAAAATTAAAATTCTTATGCTGAATTAGCAGAATTAGAATATGATATATAAGGAGATTTTATTAATTAGAGAAACATTTTTATTCCTTTTATTTGTCCTAAAAGTACTGGATTGGGAAATATTTCAATTAGAAATAGAGTTTCGAAAAGAAAATGAGTAGTTATTTTTTTTTTATTTTTAATATTTTTTTATTTTATTTGTTTTTCATGTTTTTGTTTTTTTTAATATATATAAAAAAAAAAAGTTATATATTATTTTAAATTATAATTGATTAATTTGCTCTTTTTTTTTTTTTTTTTTTAAAAAAGAAATAAATATTTATTAAAAAATGTCGGACAATATAGATCATATAAATGAAGATGAAGTTTTATACAAATAAATAAATATATTATTATATATATATAAAAAAAAATATAAAAATAAGAACTATTAATAAGATGAATCAATAGATGAATTTGAAAAATAAATGAACGAAACAATTATCAGTAAAATAATAAACAAATATATATATATATATAATATAAAATTTAAATAAAAATAGGCTCATATGAAAAAAAATATTAACAGACCTTAATCAAAATAAGGAAGGCCAGAATCAAGTATAATAAATTCTTAAAACCGAAAGAATAACTAAACGTAAAAAGAATATCAAAATTAAATAGAAAAAGATGAAAATAATCTAATATAACAAAACAAAAGAAATCATCAAAATTAACAATAATAATAATAATAATAATAATAATAATAATAATAATAATAATAATAATAATTGAATGACGATTAGAGTTAAAAAAATAAATAAATATATTAAATTTTAAGGAAGTAATCATCATAACAATAATAATCCTAAATAATATAAAAAATTAGCAAATATATTGCTTTTCATCATATATCATTATAAACATTTTGGAAATCCTAACAAATATATGTCTAATTTGAATAATTTTTGGAATTCATTTAATAAATAGGAATGATAATTCTTCCAAATGAGTATGAAAATTTACAACAAGAGCTTTAAAATAATTAAGGATAAATAACGATAAGTATTATTTGTGAAAAAATAAAACCATGGCATAATTAGGAAAGTAATATTTATATATAGTAATTTTTAATTTTGCTTTTTCGCTTTTAATAGATGCTATGCTTGAATTCATAAAGGAAAAAGTCCTATGTATGGCTTAAAGTTCAAAAAATAAATATAGAGTTCAAAGTTAAAAAGGTGCTAGGCAATTAAATAATACTAATCCTTAAAAATAGCTTCGTCCGGTAAGTGGATTTAATTAAGAATATAATAAAAACTTAAAATAATAATAATAAGAATATAATTTAGATGAATAAAATAGATCGACTTCATATTTTAATATGCATAATTAAAGATAAAAAAAATAAGAATAATCACTAAATTTTATCATTACTAATAATAAAAATGAATAAGACTACGATACTTTAGTTAAAATGGGATAAGCTAATGAATTAGCTGAATAAATAAATTCTAATAATAGATATAGGGCTTTTAAAAGACCAGTATTTTATTTTTTTTGTTAATTATAAATATAATATATACAATTAATTTTAATAAAAGGATGGAAATTTAGTTGTTCATGTGTATGATGATGATTGCTTATATGCGGAATTAACCATAAATGAATTTAATAGAGAATTCACGTCATTAAAAATGCAACATAATTAAAAGAAAAATACCAAAATTTGGGAAGTTCTTTCTGAAAATAAAAAAGCTTTAAAAGGAAGAGATTTTTCAAGAAATATAAATAAAGAAGATGCGATTCCAATAGATTAAGTTGATGGTAATTATGCAAATATATATATATATATATATATATATATATATATATATATATTTATATATACATGT